AGGCGCGTGGATCAGCTCCAAGGAAATGATTTGGATGGGAAAATATGGCACATCAAACAAGTCAAAGCCAAGGAAAAGGAAATTGTTTTCCAAGTTTCAAGGAAAAGATGGCCAATCAAACATGGCCTTAGTGGCGAACGAGGATAGGGACAACCCAACTTTTTTCAGAGAGAGCTTTAATAAACTGCCATGCCAAGAGTAGCAGAGAACGGGAAGAAAGACTGTCGCACAGAAAATAATTAACATTTCTTCTTTGGGAGACGATCCTCAATCAAACTGGCATTATCGTTTAAGGTTGGAAATGCTGTTCTTGGATCTATGGGGCCCTTAATAATTTATCTAGGAATGTGCTAATTATCATATTTGTTTTGAGCTTTTTACTGCTGTAGAGCAACAATTTGAAGACAACGTAATTATTAACATCTCAAAGTGCTATTCAATTTCCAACTAAAAATATAAAACAATGTGCTCAAGCTGTATAATGCTGTACAATAGAGCCCATATTACAGTGATCATACGGTTTAGCTAGACAGATAAAGGTTCTATCTGATATTTGGGTTGTGGGGGGAAGGCTCCACTGTCCTTGAAACTCTTCTGCTCCACTCTGACACTATAGTCGAAATTCACATGGAAAATTCGCCCTTTGAAATTTATGATAATTAACTTGAAATGACAACTCTTCTGCATCCAAGAATCACAATCCATGTATCTTCACAAGTTCATCCAAGAATCTCAATCCATGAATCTTCACAACTTCAACACAATTGTCTGAGCTAATATCTGATGGGCCCGTCCAAGCTCCCAGATGCAAACTGATATTTTTCAAAGTTCCCTTAAATTTTTAGATTATGGGTTAGAAAAATGAATATGATACTAAAAACCACTGGAGTTTTACCTGCTGAACAATTGGATTTTCGGACGTGGAGAATTCATGGGTCATTCCTTGCCAAACAACCTTTCCTTCATATAGAAATAACAGCCTAAATGTCGTATTAAACTAGATGAGATGACGTCTTGTATTCCCAGATGACAGAGGCTTGACTTTTTTAAAACAAGCAACTCTAATGTTGTGGAGTGAACCAATCAATACCTGTCTACAGCTCTTCTGATAGTACTGTGTTGATGAGTAACAACAACATAAGATGAAATCTTCCCAGGTTCCCCAAGTGCATCCTCACCTTTCATATGAACAGAACGGATGAGATCTTCAATTACGGTAGATGCAATAGGATCAAGACCAGCTGTTGGCTCATCATAGAGTAGCACCTGTTCAATAGTGCATGGAACTATCATCAGAAAGGCGAATGACTGCACACAGTTAATATCTTCAACATTGCAGAATCTGGTAATATAATTCTTCTGAGTGTCAAACTCAAATCTTTTCACATATTCCAGTCAAAAACATTAGAGACATAGTGTGGAATGAGACCACCGAGATCAATCGAATAAGATATTGTAATTGTAGTATGTGTAATTGGTCAGTGGCTTCGCCCTATCTTGCTGGCGCGTAAGCTACCACTTTGTACAAACGATCTAGGCTTGTATTCGGAGTTTCCCTGGGGTTGGTAAGGCGAAATGCAGAAGAAACAAACAAAAGTATATCCACTTAAGTCAAGGCAGCTGTACTTTCGCAACATGGGAAATTTTCAATGCAATGTTCACACGAGGATTTTTCACCAGTAACCCCAAGCACCTAACTACGATCAAATCAAAGTTTTAGTGAAATTGTTGGCCAAGTAGTTGCTTCAACAAGAATAATTGAACAGTATTTTTCAAGTATAAATTAGCTTTATTGATTAACCAGACAAGTAATTTAAAGCAAACACAGAATTTATGATATATTAGTTCAGTGAACATTAATTGACATGAAATATACAAGAAACTCAAAATTAGTAGCTGCAGAAAACTGCAGGTAAAACAAGAAACACCAACACACCTCAGGCTCTATTGCATCTTTTGTGGTATCAAATATTATAGAACGAGCTAAAGCAACTCTTTTTTTCATTCCTCCAGACAACTCAGAAGGCAATCGCTCTTCAACATTCTACAAAAAAAATATTGATTTGATTTATTATAACGACAAAGACACAAGGATATATAAATAAGTACACAAGCAATGAATGAATGAGACCTTCTTGCATTGACTTCACTGAATTTTCTATTTTTCCTTTCGACCTTTTCTCAATTTTTAGTATGTTAGTACATTGAGCTTGTCTTAGTTTTTGGTGGATTATCCAACCAATTTCAAAACTTAATATGCATCTTCAAATTATTTCATACTACGAAGCCTATAAATATTGACTAACAGCAAAACATTGTTTCAACCATGTGACTTCATTGTATACACCACACCACACCATATTCAAATAGATCCTTCCAAAACGATTTACCTGCTTAAGCTAATATTATCTTATCATAAACTAGAAGCAGGGCATAAAATCCAAGGGAGATTTTCAATACCTACATGTTACTGATTTAGTGAAGATCGAGTCTTGCATTTTCATTTTGTGCTACAACTATACTTATCAAACTAACAGTTAGTATTTGCCCATTGACTCATTCAAGTACTGCTAAATCATAAATATCAAGGGAGATTTTCAGTACCTACGCGTCTTCATTCAATATTTAAGTGATTGCCACAGTAAAATTACCTATCTGGCGACTCATCAATAAAATTACTAGTTGCATATTTGCTTGACCAACTGTTGGGCTCAATATCTGGACTGACTATGATAATTTGAAGAATTGATCACTAGAAGTGATATAAAATTAATCAATTATTCCAGAACTTTGTGGCATCGACTTGACAATTAATCAGTTTTTTGAGGAAATCAGCCAACTTAATTAAAATTAAAGGGGGTCATATATTACCAAATTGTATCTAAGTGACATTATCTAATGGTACAAAGTATTTTCTTTAAAAAAATAAAAAAATTCTTGTGCTAAAAAACGTTCCATCATTTTTTGTTAGTAATACTTTGCCATCATCTCAACTTTTTAGAATGTTCAACATAATTTTATTCTGGCAAACAGTAAGCATTTTTACACCTTCAACCCAACAGCAGCTAGAGTTTCAGTCACGAGCTCTGCAATTTGTTCCTCAGGCATAGTTGAATTTTCATATCTGTCATATTCAAGAAGAAAAGGAAGCCCGATTCAGAAAGAATAAAGGAAAAAGATGCAGTAACAATTTCTGCATAGTATCTTACAATAAGAAACCAACGTTTTCACGAACAGTTAAAGAATCAAAAAGTGCTGCACTCTGAAACACCTGTATGGAGAAAAAGAATTTAAAGAATCATGTTAATATATACTTACGAGAATCAATGAACTGAGCCTTATTCCCAATACAAAAGATGTATAATAATGTGTATATATTACCAAGCCAATTCGAAGGCCAGATATTTCCTCATCACTGATCAAACCATGGCGCTTTCTACCTCGAACAAAAACCTCACCCTGATCATTAAGCATGGTTCATAAAAGATCCCAAGGGTCAGAAATCCAGGCTCTTTCTGAATTACAATAGTGCCAAGAACACAGTGAAAATGCGAGAAGAATTACCTTGTCAGGAGCAAGAAGCCCAGCCATGATCTTCAATATAGTTGACTTACCAGTCCCCGATGGCCCTATTATTCCAACAGCCTCTCCATGTCTAATCTGCAAATGGGTAAAATTATTTTCATTTGAATTCATGGAAGAAAATTATTTGTTATAAGTTTAAACAGACAACATTCGTAAGAGAATGAAAGTGAAAGGAAATAAAGTTCAACTCTACGTGAAACTCAAAAAGTGCAAAAATAATATGACTATAAGACTATCTGACACAATATAATCGTATGATAAAACCAAACACGGGGATACACATATGCCTCCATAACCCACAGAGAATTCAGAAACATTCATATCTAATATTATCTGACATAATACACGTCCATGAAAAAAAAAAAATCGTCGCCCTGAAAACAAGATCAAATTGTCGTTGAACTTAGTCTTCAACCAAGGCAATATAAATGTTGCTAAGAAATAATTAATTAGACATATCAAACAACAAGGATTCTGAATTATGAAAAAATAAGCCAAATACACCAAAAGATGTAAAGGAAGAGAATATGCCACAACAAGAAGCCTTAATCCTGACGAAGTTTGTTTGGCTGCATGAATACTTTTTCCTGTCAGGCAATGAAATCCTTTACATCCATCTTAGGCCAAAAAGGAACAAGAAAATAAAATATAATCGACCGAAGCAAGTCACGAAGCAAAAATATTTTTTATTAAGCCAATGGTTGAATCAACCTCAATTAATGCCGATAAGAGATTCCACCATGGAGTTGAATCCATGCACAAAACTTGCAAAAATTATTATAGTAGTTCACCTTGAAGCTCACGCCTCTTAAAATGTGCTCTTCTCCGAATGACTTGTAGACATCTCTACATTCAATAAGCACGTCAGTTTCATCCTTTAACTCCTTCGTAATCCTCAAATTCTCTGCTCTTTGAGAACCCTGAGGAAAATGAAGAAACAAGAAGATTACCTCACAAGTACACTGCAAAAAACTTGCACTGTAGCGTTACAAGTTTAAACCCAATTCCACCGTTAATCTCATCAGTCACCATATGTCGAGCATAAAGAATCTTAAGTTTGTCATCCTTATGGATGTTCTAAGTGTAAAAGCAAAATCATAGCCATAGGCAACCTATCACCTAAAAGACACAAGGAAAAGAAACTGAAAGAAACTAAATGTTTGTGTCAATGTGAACTATATTTTATGGATTCCAATTTGAGGTGCCATTTATGCTGTCAAACATGGTAACCACAAGTTCAAAATGTTAGAAATACAAATTTATATAATTCATATTAAAAAGTGAAAATTCCCCATTTGTGAATGAAATTTAAGTTTCCAAGTTCATGCATGTGCATGAATCATTTTCTTTCCAATTTTATGTGTGTTTATTTTTAAAAATTTGATGAAGTCTTCAAGGATCTTTTAGGTTTCCAAATTTATGTATGTTTGTTGAGGAAGTTCACAAATGTTCATGTACTTAGTTTTATCTCCTAATACTGTCTTTGTGAATATTGGTTTTCTCATACGCTACGTAAAGCCCTCATTTGGAACAAATAAGTGAACTCTTATATTTCCTTGTCTTGAGCTTTGTTTGTGTATTCTCTCAAAGTGTCCTTGAGCTCTAGTTCAGTGTTTAAGAAAGTCCACCACCACATTCTTCTCCAAGAAATGTGCGATAGAAGATGTCAACGTTGACCTTTGGCTATGGTTGTGTCAGAGTTGAATTTTTTTACCAACAGTGACAATAACGGGTTACTTGACTTTGGATCAACTTTGCATGTCTATGGTGTCAAATGCATTAGAAGTATGTTCATCCCTTACAATCCACTCAAAGAAGGAGAAGAGGTTTTCATGAGAAACTAAAGTTTTAGTTGAGTTGGGAGATAATGTAGAATTAAGGCTTGTTCAGCCAAAATATTCCAACTCAATCATGTTTATCATACGTCTAATTTTAGAAGAAATTTATTTCATGTTTGGCCCACATTTCTTAAAACTCATTTTCAACCACACATTTAATGAGACTACAACTTTTATCAACTTTTCAATCACACATTTGACCAACTTTTATCAAAATCTACTAATTTTATCCAAACCAAACAGGGGCTTAATACATCAATATTATTAACACTTAAAAAAGTAGGACTCAAAGTAGTTTATGATTCTTATTGTTTAAAGGAAAGAGAAAGGAATTTGCAGTTAGAATCTCCTCATACTGATCTTTTCTTCAGATTTTACTATGAGAATTTTCAAGTTCATGATTATTTTTCTAAGTTTCTTGATCTTGATATTCATGAACTTTTAGTTTCAAAATTCACGCACGATCGTTTTTAAAGTATGCGCAATGTGTTCATGGATCTTTTTGGTTCTTAAATTCATATATTAATTTCTTCAATTTTTTTTTTTCAATAACTTCACATTGGTTTCTCAGAAGCAATATAAATTCTTTGGAGCAAACAATTGAAATTCCTTATACTTCCTTGTCATGATATTTTTTCTTTCACTGTCTTTGAAACTCTCTTTGAGGTGTAGTTGGATGCTTAGTGCAGTCCATTATGACCTGCTGTTAGGAGTGCACATTGGCTGTGGTTCACCAATTATTACATCCCGGAGGCCATCTCTTAAACCCAACACAACCAGGGTGGGTTAACTATCCTGAGGGGATACCTCAATCCAAGCACAATGATTTATCCTACTTCAACAGACATCCATTGAGATAATTCTTTTCTTGTTTCAATAGCGAGTTTCAACTACTTCTAATTCCTCTGCAGTATTTTGGATAATCTTCATTTAGTTTCATCCTTGTTTACTAATATTTTCCGGGGAAATTCCAGCATATCCATTAATGTTTAAAGCAATTTCACAGCCAACAATGTAACCCAAAAAAATATATATATAAACCGGCGATCACATGAAAAATACAACTAAAATATAGTTAAATAAAGAAATCAAAACCACAAAGTTAGAATCGACCACATCAATTAGAGAAAAGGGATTTTTCCAAACTTTATTCATACTTTATGTTTGGTAGCTGTAAAGACATTTGGGGGCGCCATACAAGCAGAAATAATGTTTTTCTTTAATTTTTCAATTCCATCATAACGGCCTCTGCCACTGCTGCAAATGTTGGAAGGGTTGCAAGAAAACGAACCTACCAATGAAACCATGCTTTTTTTTTCTAAACGAAAGATTTTTCGGGACTAACCAGATTCAATATCATCAAATACGAGATCGAATTTTTGGGATTTTTAAGATTTTTATCAAATTTTGTAAGGATTTTTGGATTCTGACGAGGAGAAAGTGGAGCTCGGGGGCTCTCGAGGACGGTGGAAGGGCAGGTTGTCCCTGGAAGAAAATAACGAGACATATTTGCAGTTTTGATCCTCGAACTTTGGAAAATAGAGTATATTGTGCTTAATTAATTTTTCATTGTTGACCTTTCGAGTTTACAAATTTTCAACTTCGTACCATTCGTGGAGAGGGAAACACTCAAATATTTTGTCAAATAAATACCAATGATAATATTTTTTTTGTTTTTAATTACTTTGAGACGATGAAAAAAAATAAATAAATAAATAAATAAATAAAT